CTTCCTGTTATTATCTGGCATAATTCTGAGATGTCTCCGGGTCATCTAACCCAGCAGCATCTACACTGCAAAAAAAAAAAAAGAATGATCATTAATGACCATTCTAGTATAAGTCAGATAAACTCCGGCGATATTAATCTGTCCAGTTAGGAAGCATAAACCATCGTGAATCAGTCCCTGGTCTCCATGTTCTTGGAGCTTCACACTAACCTCCACTTTTTAGCCGATGGTAGTCTGACTGCTGTTAGGTACAGGGACAAAATACTTGTCACTGTCAGATCTTGCGCTGTTGCAGTAGCCCTGGGTTCCCCCTTGTGCAGGAAAACGCCCAGCATCACATGTCAAGAACATGTAGGCCTTTCCTGGGTAACAAAGGCACTGATGCCACTGACTGAGCATCATGTTCCCCAGACATGAATGAAAGTTTAAAACCTCTGGAACGTAATGTATCCTTACAACACTGCCAAATGGTGCCATAGACTATTCAACAGTTTAGTAAGGCCCTGATCAAAACCTAGGAGAGGATGTTGCAGTGCATCATCCACTGTGACTTCAGGAGCATTACTGGATGTAGGGACTGCATAAAGACATGTAAAGGCCATGAACATTACTGGGCTACACTGATGCAAGTTCAATAATTGCACTGAATCAATGCTGAACTTGTATTTAGTCACTTTTGCACCTTCACCTGTATTGAAACAATGCTGAAACCAGAAATGGTATTTTAATCGATATTAAACACATCAAATTGCTAATAATATTAAAAAATATTGTACTTTTTTATGTTACAGTAACATTGTAAAACAAATACAGTGTATTAGCCCACAAGATTGTCAAATAAGATTACACAGGTTTCCTGGGAGCCTTCATGCTCAAACAGTTCTCCACACTTCTGTTAACATCCAAATAAATACAGCTGCACTCAAGGACAAACCGCAAGCACTGAATGACTTCAACACTCCTTAATACTTATCAATGGATATTTAGTACAAAACATGCCATTACTTACCACAAGATAACTTGATTGGAAATATCCCAGCATATAAACGTGACAGCAACACAAACATACTTTCATGACTGTCTCTGCGCCGTTCCCTAGCATTCCTAGTTAACAGGCATAGCTCAAAAAGAGCAGTGCCATCTGGTGGCACGAAAAAAACACCATCTGTCTCACCTACTCATATTTAATCTCACTACTAAACATTAGGCACATTTCACAACTTAACATTGGTTTAAAACACAACTTTACATAATGTATGAAATTAAGATTAGCTTAAAATCATTTTTGGCTAATTCAAATTGTATGATGTCAACATGGTCAATTTATGATTCAAACCATCTACTAAAGAAAAACAAAGGTGCAGTGAATGCAGTAAAGTGGATAATGGATATGAAAAAACAGTAAAATAGCTAGCTAGCATAGTATAGGGTCCTAGCTAACCTAACCCTACTATCATCTAAGCTGGCATTCATGTTCGCAGGCTAACATCATTAAAGTGTCTAATAATGTCCACTGTGACAGTCACAAATCTACAGATGGTATCACAGCATACAGCACTCAACAATGTACATAAACTATAACGAGTGTCAGGAAGCACTAAGTCCTTCACTATTCGCCAAAATAGAAGCAAAATGTTTGGTGTAAGTTACCCAGCTTAAACCTCAGTGGCAGCTACCTTGTCTTGCCGGTAAAAAGGAATCCACCTCAAATGCAGCTCTTTTAAAGGATCTGAGCTGGAAAGAGTAGGTATTTGGTAGGTCAGCTTTTTGCAGAAATTTAAAATAATTAGAAGTGTGAAATGACCTTTAAATTGCATTAAATTGTATATGACATGTCTGCTTCAATTTTTGACAAGTGATTGATAATGTTAGGATTAATTGTGAAAACTAATCTTCTTTGTTCTTCTTTTCCCTCTCTGGAAGAATTATGTCATAGGCCAGTTTGAATTGAGAAGGCGTGGTAAGAGAGTATATAAAGCTTAGAGAGATGGATAGGTGGCCATTTTCAAATCAAATCAAATCACTTTTTATTGTCACATCACATGTGCAGGCACACTGGCACAGCACATGCGAGTGAAATTCTTGTGTGCGAGCCCCACAAGCAACAGAGATGTGCAAACACAACAACACAAACGAGCAAAATACAAGAATGGCCAACCTGAAACTAATAAATATATGTACAATATATAATAGTGTATGCATTTCTGGATGTGTATACTAAATATTTTCCTACGTGTGTGTGTGTGTGTGTGTGTGTGTGTGTGTGTGTGTGTGTGTGTGTGTGTGTACACATTTTTACAAATTAAATAGTAAAAAAATAAAATAAAATAATAATAATAATAATAAAATATATAAAATATACAGAGTTGAATATGTGCAAAACAAGTGGCATTTATATACAGTGTGGAGTGCATAATGTTGAAGTTCCAGTAGTGAAGCTGAGGTGTCTATGACGTGTTCAGCAGTCTGATGGCCTGATGGAAAAAGCTGTCTCTCAGTCTGCTGGTACGGGACCGGATGCTGCAGAACCTCCTTCCTGATGGAAGCAGTCTGAACAGTTTATGGCTGGGGTGACTGGAGTCCTTGATGATCCTCCCCGCTTTCCTCAGGCACCGCTTCCTGTAGATGTCTTGGAGGGAGGGAAGCTCACCTCCAATTATCCGTTCAGAGCACCGCACTACTCGCTGGAGAGCTTTGCAGTTGTAGGCGGTGCTGTTGCCATACCAGGTGGTGATGCATCCAGTGAGGATGCTCTCAATGGCACAGTGATAGAAGGTCCTGAGGATGCGGGGGCTCATGCCGAATCTTTTCAGTCTCCTGAGAAAGAAGAGGCGCTGCTGGGCCTTCTTCACTGTTTTGTTTGTGTGTACTGACCACGTAAGATCCTCAGCCAGGTGTACGCCAAGGAACCGGAAGCTGCTCACTCTCTCCACAGCAGCGCTGTTGATGGTGATGGGGGTGTGTACTTCTCTGCACCTCCGGAAGTCCACTATCAACTCCTTTGTCTTTGCGACGTTGAGGGTGAGATGGTTGTCTTGACACCAGTGGGTCAGGGCGCTGACCTCCTCCCTGTAAGCCGTCTCATCACCGTTGGTGATAAGACCCACCACTGTAGTGTCGTCCGCAAACTTCACAATGATGTTGGAGCTGTTAGTGGCTGTGCAGTCGTAGGTGTAGAGTGAGTACAGGAGAGGGCTCAGTACACACCCCTGTGGAGCACCAGTGTTCAGTGTGATGGGGGATGAGGTGATGCTGCCCAGTCTGACCACCTGGCGTCTGTCAGACAGGAAGCTAAGGATCCAGCTGCAGAGGGAGCTGCTCAGTCCTAGATCCTGCAGTTTCCTGTCCAGCTTCGAGGGAACGATGGTATTGAATGCTGAGCTGTAATCTACAAACAGCATCCTCACATACGTGTCTCTCTTCTCCAGGTGTAACAGGGCAGTGTGTAGTGTCAGGGCTATGGCATCATCAGTGGACCTGTTGTGGCGGTATGCAAACTGTAGAGGGTCCAGTGAGTCGGGTAGTGCTGTGTGTTGTGTGTGTGTGTGTGTGTGTAAAAGATTGGCCAATAAACTAAAGTTGTTCTCTGTTCAGTCAAAACAGAGTGATGTCTGCTGTTTTCACACCACACCCCTCTGCGTAGCACGGGGTTAAGAAATATATATCATAAAATTTAAATATTACACTATAACAAAACGCTTACTTGACAAAATTCACAGAGGAAACCTCTGGGGTGGAATAGTGTCATCTACCGAAGGATCATCTTCCTGTCAGCTGTAACATACATAATACTCAGTACTGCAACTCACCAAGGAAAAAGAGCTGAGGTGATGTTAGTGGCCCTGAATATGACTGGGTGTTTAGTAGGAAGGTCTTTGTTGTTGTTGTTTTTTTTATCCAGGAACTTTCTTAGAAGATTCAACTGATCAATAATCTGGTAATTACATTTATTTCAGAAGCTAAAAGGGTCAGAAGACTGGAGTGGTGAGTAATGACTGTATCTGTTGAAAGGTGACATTTACAATGAAGTCTTCTTGATGAGTGGGGGATTATGACTTTTTCTAAGTTATGGCTACAGCTGGGAAAGAGACCAAGAAAGCCTGAGTTTCATCTAGATTCTTATTTCATATATAAAGATTGCATCTTCTTTCTTTGGCTGCTTACATAAAATTCCTGCAGATGGAAACCAAACAACACAAGCACATGATGGTAAATGAAGGAGCAATAGAGATCTGTGTGGCTGAAGGAGGACAGGGAAAGTGGAAGAAATTAAAAGAGAACAGTAGAAAAATTAATCTCAGTGAATTTCCTCTTACAAGCCAAAAAGGCCCGTCATATTTGATATTTTGCATCTCGGTGGAGGAGGAAAAGAGCAGAGATGCTGAGTGGGCTCACTTGAAGAGTCATCAGTGGCAAACAGTATCGCCAGTATGATACCATACAATCTGCTTCCAGTAAAAGCCCAGGCTAAATTTGTCTTGTGTTGTACACATGGTAGTCAGGTAGCAGAAAAGCGGAGAGACACTGAGTGGGCAACATGAGCCCCGATGAGTATGCTCGCATAAAGCTAAGCCAACTGTTACGCCAACTGCCTAGTTCAAACACAAAAAAGCCATTCTAAAAATGTCAGCTGAAATCGAAATCGACTATCTGCTCATTTTTATTTGGGAAGACAGCGGCGTAGTGGAGAGTCAAACGATGCTTCTGTGTTATGAAGTCAAACCATATCAGAAAAATCTCTGGCTTCACACGCAGGACCAGAGAGGGATTTCAGAGAAACCCACTGCAGGCTGACAGGCTCTGTGAATGTGAATCATGATTAGAGGACAATGCAAGCCAGCACATGCCCTAAACTGAGCGTTCAGGCTGGTGAAGGATTGCTGAGCTTCCATGTGACCTTAAGCAAGGCATAAAGGCCTCCAGGAGTTTACATATATTTTCAGATGTCTACAAACCTGTGTACTATTTGTGTAGTTGTACAAGTGAGTTTATGTGCTGTATGTATGAGATACAGATTTGTGTAGGGAACCTCGAGTGACCCAGGAGCAAAATTCTCCGCAGACTTGAGTTCAGGGTTCATTTCCCAACATCTGTGCCTTCAGCTTGGTCCTGTGGTCCAACAAACAGAAACTGGCAGTGTTCCAGTGTGAGCAGCCAATAAGGGATCGTGTCCTTGTCACTGAACCACTGACTCCTACTGGGTAGGTTAAGGTCTTCTAGAAATGGCTGTGTGGGGCACTGAATCTGAAACCTCTAGTTGCTTTTGGTGAGGCTCTCCACTAGAAGCAAAAAAAAACAAAACAAACAAAACCCACTGCATGTGAATCCATTCCCAAACTATCTGGAGAGTACATTATGCAACAACAATCACTGTATGTAACTGAGGAAAGGAGGATAGATAACAGTGTTAAACAGTATTCAACACGCTTTCAGGACTATTACAATTACTCATTGAACTGAGTCGACCCAACATTTTCACTCATCTCAACATTTGAGCCACAACCCAGCAAAGATTCTTGAGGCAGTGGTGCTGTGTGCCTGGACAACAATAGCCGGGGGCAGAAAGCATAAAATTACAACAACGTCATTATTACCAGAAGGGACATTGGTCCCACTTCCACTGGTGTTCTACTCACTCACTCTCTGTTCTGCAAAAACAAATGCCACTGTGTAACACATGTTTTTGTGGACTAAGAGAAGGTATTCAATTACATCCTTCACGGCTTTTTGATCCATAAAACTGTAGTGAATTCTTGGTTAATAATATTAAATAAGTAATATTTAAATAAGTAATAATCATTAGCTGTGGATCTTAGATTTGCGAGGACAAGGACTGTCCATTGTCACCGAATTGGTTCAAAATCTTTTAGGAGCAGCCAAAAGGATGGAGAGTGAACTGTAAAGGGCGAATGGTGGAGGGTTCAGTGGTCTCAGGATATTATCTCAGCTTTTTATGGACAATGCAGTGCTGCTGGCTTCATTGAGTAATGAGCTCCAGCTCACACTGAGGCAATTTGCAGCCAAGTGTGAAGCAGTAAGGAGGGAGAATTAACACCTCAGAGTTTGGAGTTTCCAGTTGTCAGCAGAAGAAAAGGGTGGACTCTGTGCTCCAGGTTAGGGATGAGTTGTTGCCTTGAGTGGAGGAGTTCAAGTATGCTAGTTTCCTGTTCACAAGTGGAAGGAGAGTAAAGCTGGAGATTGACAGATGAGCTCTAAATCAACGCTGTTAATTTATCAGTGCTCCTAAACTCACCTGTGGCTCTAAAAGAATACGATCACAGATACAAGCAGCAGGTTGCTCCAGTGGGTGGAGTAACACAGAAGACCCACTAGTTAGTCCTCCACATCAAAAGGAGCCAGTTGAGGGGGATTGGGCATCTGCCTGTGCTTCAAGGACACCTTCTGAGGAATTTCACTGATATTCAAATGGATGGAAAGAAGCTCTTTAATCAATGTTTCTCTGGAATTTAAAAGCAGAGACAAGATTTGTAACATTAATTTTGCCCATTACCCACTGTCATTAGATGAAGAGCAGCAGGGATGTTTAAATTAATTTGTCATAAAATGAAACCAAAAGCAAAACTAATTTGACCATGACGTTGGTAAGAAAAATATTCTGCTGATAGCACAAAAGTAAGTGATGGCGAGAAAGGGAAAAAAATGAGGGAAAAAAGGAAAAGAAAAGCTTCCAAATTGCTACACAACTCTGTAAAAGCTCCTCTGCATGTGTTCCCACTGGATGCAGAAGGAATGATTTCTGTAGAAAACTCTGAAAAACACTTTTCCTTTATGCACTGCATGGTAATTTTTATATGGCCAATAATGACTGAAATGATGGGGAAACTGTTCCAATAATCACCATTATATTTAGATGTCTGTCTATGAATCATCTGTCTTGAACATCAGTGAGATCTTGGCTCAGCGTAGCACGCTTTTGTCTCGCAAGACTGATGGATCGCTGTGGCTTGCACGTGTAAAACAGCCAAGATTACTCATGTGGACTGCAATCATCCAGCTCCACAATAGGCACGTTAAGGACAAAATAATCATTCACACTTCATCTTCGTCTTGGATCAGAAAACTTAGCCAAGAGCTTACAGATGGGCATCTCCTCCTGTTTGTGACTGACAGAAAAAAGGCAGCTCTCTACGACCAAATGGCCAGTGAGCAAAATTTTAAGCAAAACAAATTGTGAGTCAAAGCTTAAAAGGGAAAAAGATAAAGTGATTTTGAAAATTATTAAGCTCATTTTCAAATTCTTTTGGGCTTTTCTCCTCTAATCTAAATGGACCAGGACACAGCTACAGCAGATATATGAAGTCGTTCTTTACCAATATTTTTGTTTCAAAGCAACCTAAACCCTAAATGAATAAGACAAATGGAGAGGCTTCAGGAATAGTTATCCAGGCTTTTTGAAGGACATTTAAAGCTCTTCTTTGGATCTTGGCTGCCTTTTGTTCCGTTTTACCTCAAGGTTATCCCACACTGGTTCAGTAATACTGGAGGTTCCATTGTGTGTTTTTATATCATCATGCTTTTACTGTATTGAGTGTGTTTGAAATCATTGTCATGCTGAAAAATTAAGCCATTAAGAAGGAGAAACTTTCCAGATGGTATTTCATGTTGGATCAAAATCTGACTGTGCTTTTCTGTGTTCATAACTCCATGAATTTTGACAAGATCCTCAACACCACTCCAAACCATGACAGCACGCTGGAGTCTCCAGTGTGCTTTGCAGATGGCTGTAGGCACTCAGTGTTGTACCTCTCTCCCGACGTCCTCTGTACATACTCACAACAATTTGAACCAAAAATCGCAAATTTGGATTCATCACTCCATAAAATCTGTTGCCACTGAGCTTCAGTCCAATTCTTGTGTAATTTGGCATACCTCAGTCAAGAATGGCTTCTTGACAGCTGCCCTTCCACTGAGAGCATTTCTGATGAGGTTTCAGTGGACAGCAGATGGTTCAGATGCATCTCTCAGGTTGTGTGACAGGTTTTTGCTGCATTTTTCTCTCCATTTCTTAAGGACATGACATTCAGTGAATGTTCATTGTGAGGGTTTTTTTTTTTTTCAGACAGACAGACAGACAGACAGACAGACAGACAGACAGACAGACAGTGTATGTGTAAATGAATGGTTCTAAATGCTGTGTATTTATAGTGTATGATTAATCTCTGTGAGCCTATTTTTCCTTTTCTTTTTTTAAGACTGTCACCTACGGTACAGTGCATTGGTGTGAACTGTGTCTGATTTTAGTTCTCTAATTTATGGGCAGCAAACTAGACAAGAAATAAGCTTGATTTGAAAATAAGGGAGCTGAAAAGATGTGTTGTTTTGTACGCACACACGTGTATGTATGTGTGCATAATCTCTGTAACTTCAGGGAAGAAGGTTGTGACTGAACACCAAATGTGACTGGCTGCACGCTGCAGTCAGTGCATGTCTCAGTGCCTTTGTGTCTCAAGTCTAAAAGTCTTTTGGCCATGAAATACAATAATAAAGTTTGCTTTAGACAGTTTTGGGGGACAACCCGAGTTATTTGCACAGACAGACAAAAAGAGAGGGGGGGGGTTGTTGCACACAGACAAGATGGAGGAAGAAGGAGCAGAAGAGCGAGCAAGAGACAGATGGGGGACAAAGCTAAATGGATCCAACACATCCCCACTGATTCTGACAAATGGCAGAGTGACAGAGTGAGGCGACTGCAAGACACACGCGCTCTCTGTCACAACTACAGGCATCAATAGTCGCGTGTCACAGTGGCAGTGGTTAGAATCCAAATAAGTTCAGCCAGAAAAAATAAAACCGATTCAAGTAGCAAATAATTGAGAGCAGTCTGAGTCACACACATATATACCAACACATACACAAACACCACCCACCTCTTTTACCCTTTCACTGCAGGCTTGCAGACATAAGGGAAGCATGCCTGTCACAGCATACTAAGCCAACAGCTAGAAGCGACAGTCTGACTGAGTGGTCTGGCAGCGCTTCAAATGCTGTTATTGATCTGTCTAGAAGTCAAGTTATATTGAGAAATGCAAAAGACTTGACTAGTTAACATCAAATGCTGCTCCTGAGCACATGCTACTACTGTATGATGTATGATGGACATGTGATGACTACAAAGTGAACAAAACAGCAGGCATCTTCTGACGTTTTCTTGTTTTTTCTTTCATTGCTGATGTCGGAGATAAAACCTCAGTCCTTGACAGGTCTGTTCATTTTGTTCACTTTACACTAGAATATATATGTTGAAGGTTAAAAAAAAAAAGAAAAGAAAAGAACCATATAAAAGACACGCTGATGTAAGATTAATTACACACAAATAAAAGTATTACATAGAGTCTGACTATATTAGATCACATATAGATTATATTTATTTATTTATTTACAAAAAAATAAATGTTCAAAATCAGTCTTTATCAGTAAGAAAAACTGTAAAACCTTTGAATTCAGGTAAAAGTCTAAAATGTATATCCTTCACATTTTTTAGTTGTGTCCAGTGGGCCAGATTAGAGTCTTTGGTGGCCTGATTTTGACACCCCTGATCAAGAGTTTATTTCCCTATTAGATGACTTTCTCACATCAGATCTATTGCGAGCAGTAGGAAGAACGAACTTCCTTTTAACACAAAGTGACCTCCATCTGAACCAGGCTCAGGGAGAGTCAGCCAGGCTGGCGGTGAGGTGAAAGAGAATCACATAATAAGGAGTATGGACTAGCTATATCACAATCACTTAATTTCTTTTAGATACTATGTTCCTAATTTTGGCACATATGAAAAAAGGAGCTCCAGAGATTTTTCGAATGTGTGAAATGAAAGACATACCCTGGCCAAACATTAGTCTAACATTCTGGACAGCATTATTGCAGCCTAAAGGAATGCTAAATACAATAAATGTAGTTTTGCCTGAAGTTTATAAAGTAGGCTTTATATCTTTAACACATGCTCATACTTTAACTGATTTGTGTCATGTGGGCTAATAGTTAAATATACCTGGGTGGATATCCACTGGGTGGAAAAGTCTGCAGTGGGTTTTTTGTTTATTTGTTTTTAAAAAAAATATTGCCTAATGGAGTTTTATATTTTTCCAGGCTTCCCAGCAGTTCTGTCAGTCAGATCAGTTTGTTCCTGGCCTAATTTCATAAAAGCATGGGTGCATTGTGTTCTTGGCAACCTCTAAAGTCTTTTGTCTCTTACAAGTTGGGCTGATATTCTGAGTTTCTTTTTGTTTTGACTGGTGGATAAAGTGTGATGGCCTGGAAAGTTGTTTTCGTGAGTCCTGATCAGCGACTCACAGGTTTGTGAAGTGGGAGGCAACAGTGAATAAAACTGCAGGATTAGTTTAGCCGCCTGTGCGTGTATCCTTGTTGCTTTTCCATTCATCTTCTTAACTGTTTGTTCAGTTCAGGATCACAAGGGGGGCTGGAGCCTGTCCCAGAGTTCAGGGGTACACCCTGGACAGATCAGCAATCTGTTGCAGGGCTAATACATAGAAAACCATTCACACTCACACCTAATACCAATTTAGAATCAAGATTAACATAATGTAAAGTCTTCGACATATGGGAGGAAGCAGAAGTATCACCCAGAATCTTCTTGGTGTGAGTGCTGGGCTGAGTATCTGACTTGTGTGTGGGTATAATACCATATGCTCCTGGTCTGAAGTATGTCCACACCCTTCAGTGGTCATTACCTACAATAAGGTGTGAGGAATTTTGATCACATGGCATTTGTGGATGTGTATTTGGTCCATGGCGTCTTTCCAACAACTGTGACATTGACTGTACATCTGCACAGAAGTTTTCAGTGCGAAAAGAAAAACTACTAAAAATTACCAGAACTAGTAAAGACAGTACAACGTGTGCACACACCGCGCTTTAAGTGGATTATAATTGTAAAGAAAAAGGAGATTCTTGGTTACCTGCAGGCCAACAGTGCATGTAATGCAGGCCAGTCATTTATTTATTTAATAGTTTCACCAGCTGCTGTGTGCTTTTGCACAGATTATTATCCTGTATTTGATTTAATTCACAGTTTCCAGTGCATTTTAGACAGACCTCATCTCACAGTTGTTTGCTCCAGTTAAACAAAGACATACACAAAACACAGAACAGATCAATACCTTAATTAATATGAACACTAAGTCTGTGTAAGACAGTGGTGTGGGTGCGTATTTAACTTTAAAAGGGAAAAACAAACAAACGCTAGCTTCAAAACAACATAAGATCAGTATGGTACGATCAGATAATTATTTATTGGTTGGTATTTAATGTGTCTTTTTGGATTGGTAAGTCTGTGCTTTGAAGCAGGATTTTATATTATCCACGTAAGGTCAAGTTTAATTCTGGCTTTTCCGTATTTCAAAGTATAAACAGAGAACAAAAAAGTATAGACACG